AGGGTCTTAAGGTCAAAGGGTCAGAGGGTTAGGGTCTTTGGGTTTTGGTCAGAGGGTCAGAGGGTTAGGGTCTTAGGGTCAGAGGGTCTTAAGGTCAAAGGGTCAGAGGGTTAGGGTCTTGGGGGCTACGGTCAGAGGGTCAGAGGCAGGCTGTGTGCTGCAGGTTATCCTTTAATTCAGTTGTTTTATCGGATCTTTCAAATATTTTATGACCTTAAACTTCATCAAACTGTAACAAACTGAGTCTTCACCTGAAATCTGAGACAATAACAGATAATTAAACAAATTAAACAGGAAAATAAAGGTTACGTGAAGTGATGTAATCAGAAAGAACTTTGTTGGAACGATAATCCGATGCGTCGCTGCACCAGCTTTGTGACCTTGAGCAGTGACTCTGAAGCCACAGCAGCTTTTCTGCTGCCTTTACTTCGTGTATTTGTCCTCTTCCTCGACTTACTTTGCCAGTCCAGCTGACCCCCTTCCAGATACAGAAATAGACGAGCACCCAAGCGATGGCGAGTGTGATAGCCAGCGGGATCCTGACCTCCCCAGGCTTCTCCAGACCGTCGGTCAGCTGGTGCATGTTCCGTCTGCAGGGAAGGAGCAAAGTGGTCTTACTACGACACACACGGGCATCCTGGATCTCATACATACGCCACGCATGAGTGCACGCACAAATACGCATACACGTGTCTGGATATTCACAAAGAGCCTCTCGTGGCTTTCTTTTTCACCCCTAGAGCCTTTTCATGGGACGCCGTGCTGGTTTGCACGCATGTCTACATGCTGTTTCCTTTCAACCATCACTTTGTCTTTTCTTGAGCTTGTTTCAGGCATTTAGTGCTCGTGCACATGTTTGTATTATCTAGCCGTACCCTGGAGTCGATGACCATTTAAGGATTCAAAGTGGCCATATTAGAATCTGAGCCCTGATTTGACCCTTCATGGGCACACTGGGGGAGATGACCAATCAGAAGCAGTGTCCTGTCGTATAAACAGAGCGATGCCCAGCTTACTCCCAGAACTCCACCACAGCGCTGGTGAGGTTCCTGGTGTCTGTGATGCTGTAGTTGGTGTAGCAGCGGTCTGTGTTCCAGGGATTGCCACAAGTCTGCCATGGCAGGTCCTGGAAATTTAAGAGAAAAACACACACACACACACACACACACACACACACACACACACACACACACACACAGACAGCTCTTTTAACTTGGACTACTCTCCCACTGCTGGGTCCCATTCTCTGAGGCTGTCCAGCAGCCAAGACCATGATACTCATTCGGGACATTGAGATTTCATGCTTTTCTCAGAGGGGTGAATGCCTCATCGCCAAATGCATTTATCAATACCTTGTGTAAGGCGCTAATTATGTGGGAAAGGAAGTAATAAATGTCATAGTCTGTTAAGGGCTGTGGAGCCTTATATAAGAGATGCTGGCAAACAGAACGTGTCACATGACTAAAGTGTGACTAAGTAAAGAAAACAGATAAATAAGGTAAAACAACTGTGCGTTGTGTGAGAGAGAAAACATCAGTGAGGAACTCTGGAGCCTTCAATGTTTCAACGGTTCATCCTGACATCGTACGTCTCAGTGAACAGCACGGATGCTAAATGTGAGATACTCACAGCAGTGAAGGAGTTGTACAGATAGTAAAGAGCCCAGGAAATGATGACTATGTAATAGATATTGAGCCAAAAGGACAGAACGGCAGCAGCAAGACCCACACCTGAAATAATCGGAGAATACAGGCATGATGTTACATTCTGCTGAATATGTGTTGAAATAAACAGAACACTGAATGTTTTTGTTCTCTGATGCACAATTACCAGAGGCCCAGTTTTCTGCTTTGCCTGTGTCTGTTTTTTCAACCTGGCCTTCATGAGGCAGCCAGTCAACACAGAAACAAACGGGCCCAACAATAAGGTGAAAGTGTCTTTACCTTTGAACACTGGAGCCAGCTTCCACACTCCCAGACCACCGATAGAAGTGTACTGACCGAGAGCCGTCTCCAGAAAGAACAGGGGCATGCCAGCAAATATGAGGGTCAAAAAGTAGGGAATCAAGAAGGCCCCTGAATGAAAGGTGAGAAGTACAGGTGTGTAAATTTACCAATAATATTTAACATAATCCAATAAGATATTTGGTTTCAGACTGCGGCCCGCATCACCGCACTGGGATTCGCTTGTGCGCAATTACGCGCGGCAGTGATGGGAAAATACACTTAAGATCTATTTAATTAAAAACCTCCGGGATCAAACCGTCAGCTTTTGATGTCGAGATCTTTGCGCTCCTTTTGGTGTATGGATAAAGTGAAAATTGCCAAGAATTCCTGATTACCTCCGCCGTTTTTCCCACATAAGTAAGGAAATCTCCAGACATTCCCGAGTCCGATTGCGTATCCGACACAAGAGAGAAGAAAGTCAAATTTCCCAGCCCACGTTTCTCTCTCGGGTAGATCCTTTTTCGTCTTCTGCACTTTCACAACCAAGGTTTTGGGTTTGTCGTTTGGCGTGGTGGTGGGCGCGTCATTCACCGTCTCCGTTAAGACGTGTCCGTCCGAGGCTTTGGTCCCGTTGGTAGCCATGGTCACGGTGTGTGTCGGCTAGTCCTGACCAGTGGAGAGGAGGGGGTTTCAGCACCGGTCCAGACAGACAGCAGCGTATCCGTCCCGTACTCCCGGTTCCCAGAGAACAGCCGAGAAAAGAGGAGCGATCGGGCGACCGTGAGCGATCAGGAGCAGAAACGGAGGCGCCGTAGCAACAGTCCGAGAGCCTGCAAGCACAAATATGAGACAAGTTAAATTTCACAGAACAAAACAGAAGCTCAGAATCAGATGAGCAGCGATTGTTTGTTCCGCGTTCACGTGCTTGTTTCATTTCTTAAACGCAGAATGTCAGGTGTGAATGACAGCGGACTGATGCATGACGCAGTTCGTTTGTTTTTGTTTGTTTTTTTGTTTGTTTTTTAATAAAAAAAAGAAATTAGAATTTTAGAAAAATATATAAACTTGAAGGGAAAGTTATTTTTCACATTAAATAAGTAATTTCTTGTTTTTCTGAAAGAAAATGTAGTTTTGGATGAAATAAATGATGACATTGCTGTTTTCGGTGGGCATCCTGTTGCTGATTTTTAAATACCTGATTTAAAATATTCTTACTCCACTAAATCATGTGCATCCATTTTAATTGCATGACATTTCTTCTGGGGTAGAAAGAGAGAAAATCTGCCCCACGATCCGTGAAGCCCACAGGATCAAATAAAGACTTCTCATGCAATAAGAATCACTTTTAATTGCCTGGAGTGAATCCATGTTAACAGAAATTTAGAGCCTGCTCTTGTCCTTGATTCATTATGCTCTAAATTCAATGGCCCACTTCCCGCTGCTGCGCTACCAGAGAGGAGCAATTCAACACATTTCGGAGTCAGACGCCATGATCGTGTCTAATGAATCACCTGGAGAGGGTCACAGCTCACTGCCGTTTGCAGCTTTAATAGACTTTTTAAAAAATGAAATATACACAGGATAGAGTTAAAATGTTTAGCAATAATTTTACTTTCTGATTAATTTGTGTCAGTACAAGCAGTTGAACGGGTTTTGGAATAAGAGGGTTTTTTTTGTTTGTTTTTTTTTTCTTTCTTTCTTTTTTTTTTTTATAAAGGCTTTAAATAATATATATATATATATATGTGTATGTATATATGTATATATATTTAATGTAAAATAATAAATGTAAATGAAATATGATGGCCGGGGAACCACGGCGCGCGCTCTGTGCGCCGTTCACCTGGTGCGTAATGGTGAGCAGCGATGAGCAGCATGGTTCAGTCACAGCTTTAGACTGCAATAAATCTCTCGTTATTTTAGAGGCATGCAGTTTAAATCAAACTGTTATTCATAAACTTCTGTCTAATTTAATCTCTTAATAAACCGAGTTAATGTAACAGTTTGCGTCTGAGGGAGACAAAGACCCAGAAGACAAACTGGCAGCGCGGACCACAGGAATACGAGTGCATTTGTTTCCTACACAGATCACACATTTGCTTTTCACATATTGGAATCATGTGGCAGCAACACTGAATGATCAAATACTCTAATGGCTCCCATGAGATGGTCGCCATCAAAGGAAGCGCAGCCGCACATCGCGTTGCCAAATTCGGCGCATCTGCATTTGACAAATTCCTCAATGGTTCAAGCAACGAGTTTTTCAAAGACGGAGTGTTTCTCTAACGTATGTAACACACACACACAAGACTTACAGTAGAAGCCGTTACTTTGCCAGGTTGTTTCTCCTCACGGGAAAATCCCGATTTGGAAGAAAAAAGTTACTTCCTTGGACTTGTACTGAGCGGAAACCAAAGGCGGAAACTTCGCATCCGGCGACAGCCAGCAGATATATGATCCTGAGGCGGAGGATGGCGGAGAAAAATGCGCGTTTGAGAGCGAGGTGCTGTCCTTAAAGGAGTGGTGCTGAAAGAGAGGAGGGGAGAGAAGACGGGGAAAGGAGCTGCCGCCGTCTGACTTGAAGCGAGCAGGATCCTCACTCATCCACACAGCAGCTCAATGTCAGCTCAAAGTCGACCCTCCCCAGCTCCAACATGTCCACCACGGAGATGGCAGCGGCGTGAGAGAGGAGCATCCTCTTGTCTCAAGGTTTTATATCCTTACTCCTGCAGCTTTTTTCTTTTTTCTTTTTCTTTTTTACATCATCAACTTCTCTCTCTCTCTCTCTCTCTCT